TAATCATTATCTTACTATCTTACTATATCATGACGAAAACTCTGTGTGTGTGTGTGTGTGTGTGTGTGTGTGTGTGTGTGTGGGTGGGTGTGTCTGTTCCACGTTTTTCTCCTCACTGACTTGGTCAATCCATGTGAAATTTGGCACAGTGGTAGAGGGTCATGGGAGGATGCGCATGAAGCAATATTACATCAATTGGCCAAAGGGGGGCGCTATAGCAACAGATTAAAATTGCAAACTTTGAATGGGCATATCTCATGCCCTGTATGTTGTAGAGACATGAAACTTTGCACAGAGATGCCTCTCCTCATGAGGAACAAATTTGCCTTAGAACCCATAACTTTCGGTTGTATAGATTTTCCGCCATTTTGAATTTTCTGAAAAACACTTAAAATCGATCTCTTCCTAGGGAGTTTGACCAATCTGCATGAAACTCGGTGAACATAATCTAGGGACCAATATCTAAAGTTCCCTCTTGGCAAGTTGGAAAACTTACTAAAACTGAGCTTCTATAAGGCAATGAATATTGCGGAGGGCGTGGCTCGTCACATAAAGGTGTATAACATCTCAAGGGTTTCACCGATCACCACGCAACTTTGTAGGCATATGACCACACATAATCTGAGGGGACCCCTCCATTATTGACCCAATCAAACAAAATGGGGGCGCTAGAGAGCTAATTTCTTATCTAGGCCTAACCGCCATATCGATTTTTACTAAACTTGGTAGATATGTAGAACAGGACGCCTCAAGGTGACAGGAGAAATTGAACTCTAATTGGCAACTGGGTTAAAAATGGCTAAAATGCAACCGATCGCTGTGGCTCCCCCTGTGGCCAAATGTTGTTGTTTTTATCCCATTTTTGGTATGACGAAGTCATGGTATGCTGTACATAATCACGGAAACTGTCAGTGTGTCATTCTGTCAGTCAGTCAGTCAGTCATTCTACAAATAAAGCAATCCTATCAAATTCACAAAAACCCTGTCTGAATACATTGCTCTTCTTAATGGGTTCAGTTGACTATTTAATCTGCAATTTCATATGACCTGTATCCCAAACACACACTGTGTGTACGTGGGCAACTGTGCACGCAGTGGATATGGACTAGTTTCTAATAATTTCACATTTTTCTCACTGTTATAATAATTCAGTGTTAAGCCACAGTTGCAGCTTCTAGATATTTATGCCATAATTGCATGCACCAGCCTTTGTGTATTTTATTGTTCTGCGTTTCAGTGTTGAAACAAATGTAATATTCCTACAATATTCAGAGAGAGTGAAGGTTGTTCTTGATAAATATCCTGAAAGGAACAAAGAAATAGATGTGTTGTAAAGTCAGACATGCTTGTGACTTCCTATTGGGTCTAATAGGAAATCTTGACAAAACATCTTGATAACACCAATTAGGCATCCAAAGCAGACAACATACTGTCTGTTTGTGTTTCAGTGGATCCAGGCATTTAGCTGTATACAAGTGATTAACCTCTACTGTACAGGCTTAATGGATGACCTTTCCAGTGCACCTGTCTTTAATAAAGCTCTAATTAGGAGTCCCATTAGGATCTGAGAGGCTGCCAGTTAATAGGTACTTAAACAGAAAAGACTTAGGTCTTTGGTGGAACAATCGAAGATACTCAGCAGTAATCATGAGAGGCAAATGTCAGCTAACAAGAGAAAAGGTGAGCTATTATTACAGTGCTCCAATGAATGACCAGTTGTCTAACAGAAACACTCTGAGGAACGTTCAGTACGCTGTCAATCTGCAAGGGAAATTCAAACTTGTAAACCCCTTGAACAAGCATTACAATGAAGAAACTGACCTAATTCAACACAGTGAGCCTCACTTACAAACGTTTTATGCACAAATCTGAGATTCATCAGTGTTTTCTTACCTAAATTTGTTCGTACTCCAATTTTAAACAGACCATATGTCTGAACAAATGATGAAAACCTGGCTGTCCCAGAAAAAGTAAAAACACACCTTTTAAGTAGTCTCGCTCACCAGACCTTTCTCAAGAAAAGAAAGGTCTGGCTGGGCCGACTCTCACTTTAAGAATGGAGAAAAAAACACCCCGGCTGCTTGTATTTCTTTCAACCAATCACAATCGTTCTGGGCGGTGCCACAGCAACGGTGTGCTTGCAAAAATATTGCCAGGGGGAAACAGGTTTTGGTGTAACATGCCCACAAAAATATCACCTACAGGACGCAAACCATGGCAGAAAAATGGCTACATCCCCGCAAGATCAAACACCGCAAAAGTTAGTAAAGGACGTGTTGAAAACGGTTAAAAACTGCTACACAACCAGAGGTAGGGCGGGACTTCAGCAGGTGGCTCATTCCGCCCAATGAGAGGCTGATCTATGCAGCGAACTTCCGCCCACTCAGACTACCTTTTAAGTAAATGCATAGCATATTAAAATCACATTCATTAAAAAAAGAATTCAAAAGACAACAATATTTAAATCTGTTAATTTACTAATGCATGCACTTATTTGTTGCCTTTCTATCCTCGTCAATAATTGTCATAATTAAAATATTCGACTATAAGACAGAGTGTCCCAGTCCTAGCTTACAGCGGAGTATATCAGGATGTCTATATTGAAATATAACAGGTTTGGTTTTCATAGTTTTTATTGGATCTGCCTGTACTTATGGGCTCTACCATCAATTCTTAGTGCCATTAATTTATTATTAATATACAGGCATATAGGGTACATGCACGATTCTGATCTACCAAGCAGGTGCTCAGATAGCATAACTTACAAACTAACATCCGCAGAGACCGATATAAGATGTTTGAAGAGAGTGACTGAGAGCTCATCAGCTGTTGCTGACTGCGGAGATAATTACGGACATTCACTGATATGCGCGCAGAAGCAGCTTCACTGCTGTCTCCATGATGCACCTCTAGGCAAACATATTACCCTCGTAGAGAAGAGGGCGCATGGCAGTATGCTTATTGCAGATAGCGGGCAGACGCCTGTCAGTTAAGAATGAGTTTTGATTTACTAACATAGTCACAGTGGTAAAAACAAAATCGGCCGGTGCACATGTCATGAATTTTGCTATGTAATTTTGCATGCTCACTTATTTTATGTGCAGAGTAAGAACATTTCTATGCACATATTAGTGAATGAGGCCCAATAAGATCAGACAAAGCACTGAACAAATAATTCTGTACTAACAGTGCCATATTACATTCAAATGAAGGTTCTGCCTTTTAAATCTCACAACAAGGTGCATGTAGAAATGGAAAGGAACTCCCATTTATCAATTCATTCCTATCTTTTCCTTTACGGTTTTTGGCATTTTAAAGTATTAAAGGATATGGCAGATAATGCATTTGTTGGGGACAACCTTCGGCTAGGGATTAATACACTTTTGGGATTCAAAACGGTGTACGGGGGATTCGCTCAAAATGAACCTTAGTGCTAGCCTGTCATGATAATTACGTTATCAACTTATCGTACAATATGTTGACAGGACCTTGATCATTTTTGCTGACCACGATATTGCTTGTTGTGTTTATGCCAACATAATACCAGAATAACAGCAGGGTTTTCCCATCCATTAAAAAAAGTCTGTTGTTCTTAGTTTTACCCCCCACAACTTCATCCTCCACTCCATAACTCCACTAGCACACTGCCCAGTTCCCAAGCCGTCCCTCCATGGTAACAAACTGCAGCACGCCGGCTGGGTTATAGAGGTAACTGCGGTATCCCCAGTGCTTTGCTATGCTTGTCTGTTAATCACAAGAGGCAGCACTTGGTTTTGTTTTTGTCGGCCAAATTTTGCTTTACGTCTGAAATTGAGAGTTTTGGCTACTCTTATAAAAGAACTATACCTTTATGTGTGCTTTCCTATACATTTTAACAGGATTTAAGTACTTTTGTAAAATCATGTCGGATATTTTTTGTATTCCAATCCAATGTCTGAATATTCTTAAGAATTTATAGGTCTTTGCTCTTTGAGGTGCATATCATGCTGTTATATTATCATTATATCAGTGGCATGAAATGGTCTCAAAATGACAATAATATTGTTATTTACAATCATTTCTGTGAAAATATATCATTCAACAAAAGAAGTTATTGTTACAGGCCTATACAGTGCCCATGTTTATTTTGATGATACCATATTGGTTTCTCGTACATAGACCTTTTTGACCATTTTGACATGTCACTGTAGAAAAAGCAAAGGTGTAAATAATAATATTGATGATGCCTGAATTCCATTTAGTTGCTTCAGTTTCAGGGTCCTGATATGGTGCATGCTGGCTCACCTTCACACTGTCATGGCTTACTTGGACACTTACATAGCAACCATTAATGTTATTAGTAATACCTGTGCCTTTTCTTCTGTAAAAAGAAGTCTCAAAATGTCATGCTACAACAATTGTGATGAATAACATTTGTTTGCTGCGGAAAAAGAAAATAAAAAAGAAAGACATTGTACAATCCTAGATTCCAAGCACGATGTGTCATCACTTGTAATCCATTTATGGGTGTGTGATTCAGATTAGGGTCACCTATATTTCGGGGAGTGCAGGCAGCTGTACTGTAAGTGGCTTTCTGTAAAAGTCCCTGCTCAATGCCATTAGACAGAGTAAACGTCATTAAGAGAGGAGCTGAAAAAGCAATTTCGTCTCTCACTCCCTTTGCTTTCTCTGTGTGCCGTCTGCAACGACGGTGTTGCAAACACACACATGCACGCACACACTCAAACACATACACACTTGTTCTCTTGCAATTCCCTCTCAGTCAGAAGCTGATTTACTGGCCAAAGTCGAGAACATTTGCCAAACAGGTACTAAATAATAAAGGTACTGATTCTAACGTCATCTTGTCTCTCTCTCTTTACTCTTCTCTCATCTCTGTATCCCCTTTCCCTCTCTACGTCCTCCTTTGTTGTTTTCCCACCTGTCCTTATCCATATCCTCTGTTAAATATCCCCCCTTACCTTCATCCTACATCCAACTTTGTTCATACAAATATCCAGGCTTCCTCAGTACCGGTGATCAGTCTGCTAAGGGGAACTACGGTCTGCTGGACCAGATTCAGGCCCTGCGTTGGCTCAATGAGAACATAGGCCACTTTGGTGGAGACCCAGAGAGGATCACCATCTTCGGCTCCGGAGCTGGGGCATCCTGTGTCAATCTCCTCATCCTCTCACACCACTCGGAGGGTAATTAAAGACTTGATTGTATTGTGTTGTGAATCTGTTTTTCCTCATATGTCACCTTACCATTCACTCTGGTTTGGTTTATGTTTTCGGGATGTCTGTCCATATGTACGTACGTCTGTCCGGTTGTTGTAAATGAAATATCTCAAGAACGCCTTGAGGGAATTTCTTCAAATTTGGTACAAACATCCACTTGCACTCAAGGATGAACTGATTAGAATTTGGTGGTCAAAAGTAAAGGTTGCTGTGACCTCACAAAACATGTTTATGGCCTTAACTCAAGACTTCATACACTGTTTATGGCAAAATCATGCAAATGTCTTTGAATACAATGATAGAGTGATGACATTTTATATCAAAAGGTCGAAGGTCAACTTTACGGTGACGTCAGTTTAAAACAAAAAAAAAAAAACACTTTTCTGGTCATTATTCACTGCCATAATTCAGGGGAGATGGATACTGAATTGATGATACTAATTTTGGGTTTCCATCTTTAAACTGTGCTGATTGTATAGATCCTCTATGCTGCCAGGTGTAAGATATCCACATTTAAGAATTTGCAGCTTCTTTCCAGCAACATCCACATTTGAAACATTGTCTACTGTCATGGCTGCATGAGTCTGGACAGACATGGATGTAAACTGTAACTGCAACTTGACTGGTTCGCAGAGGCAAACAACCTTGAGGTGGTAATTCTAGTATAAAAGAAAAACTCCCAAGCAAAATGAACCCACTGGTCATATTTTTTTTCTTTTTTTGATTTATGATATCCTAGATCCAGCCCTGTGAATGACTCATCATCCACAAATTTGTTGACAAATTGGTTGTGGCTGCTTACGTGAATGCCACATGATCCATTAATGGTTTCAGTCCTCAGCTTAGATCATTCCTCGCTAATCCCTGAATAGCCACAAAGCATATTTACAAACCACCTCAGTGTGTTTGTTTTATATATTTGCTAGAAACAGATGGCGATGTACACCTGCATGCCCAATTCAACCTTTCAGCCAAAAATGTACGTTTCTGTATTTGTTACTGGAATTGCTTGTGTTATGCTCAGTTTAGTTTTTTTTACCTTTGTTTGTCCTTTGGTGACCCATGTAAATATAATCATAGCAGCAAGGCCTTGCTGTGGTCAGCTGGAAACTCAGCTAGCAGCATCCAGCCCAGAAATCGTTAAGTCCTGTAATGTTCACTTGACACCTCTATCCTCAAAGGAAAACCCTGCTTATCCTTTGAACTGAAGAATTTAAGCAGTCATGTGGCTAATGAGCGAGTCCAGGTTTGATCCCTGTTATGTCACTCATGTCTGTGGAGGATAAATGACACTGGAGCTCCACCATTACCCCACATTACCTGACTTGGCGAGGCGAGCGCTCCTGGCTCTGTTAACGGTCCAGTGCTCTGCAGCATAGAAGCTCTACCTCAGTCAAAAACCTACATCCACCTGACCTCATGCTCCCCATTACCAACAACACACCCCGAGGGCTAAGTGTTAACATTGCACCACCAAAAGAGAGAGGCCTACGGACCAATTGACTTTGATCTGAATTGAGATCAGTGCGGCTGACGACCCGCAGCCAAGCGGTCACGCAGTCGCCACCTTTGATCATGCTGTTCTTGAAGCTGTCCTCCTCCGATCGTAACTTCTCTGTTCTCCGCGCTGCTCGAGGACTCTCCCTCAATATCTCTCTCCTCTGTTCATTTTCCGTCTCACACACACAAACCGCAAAGGACAGAAACAGGGAAGAAATGGTGGGTGAAAGGAAAGAGAGATTAGAGGGAGCGTGTTCACACAACCACACATCTGTTTCAATCACCGCTCTGTGTGTTTGTGTGTATGTGTGAAGCACCAAGCAGACGTCTGACACGGCTTTAACTTTGACTCATGCTGTCTGTGTAGATGTGCCTTGAGAACAAATGTGTCCTCAAAGCTGGAGTGAGCATGTGTGTACCGCTGCCATGTCACTGTGTCCATTTAACACAACCTCTATAATTACCACTGATGTCTGTTAACCCTCCACATTAACCCAGGCACACCCAACCTTTTTTCCCTCATTGGCAGGTGACCTACTTACCAGTTAGAAACCTCCCGAGACCCCAATTATAATACATTTATATGATAACAGTGAGTACAAAGTGCGTGTGAATTGTATATAGTGCAAAAAGAAAGAATTAAAATCAGGGGAAAATGGAAAATACTACAGTTGAAGTCCCGTGTAGAGGAATGGTATTGCAAAACATTAAAGGTCTAGTGTGTAGGATTGAGTGGCATCTAGCTGCTGAGGTTAGAGATTGCAGCCAATTGAATCTTTTTTCTAGGCTACTGTATTCCATTTCTGCCAATAAATCCCCCTAAATCTTACACACTGGCCTCGCTTAGCACAAAGGCAGGAAGCAGAAGTAAACAGCTAGCCTGGCTTTCTACAAAGTGCGAACATACACTTACCACATCTCGTGAAACGCTAAATACCTCCCAGCTCCAGGTCTGTACTTTAAAGGTGTGGACACACCAAACCGACATCAAAGAATTAACGGCGACGAAAGCCAACTGTTGCGTCATGTACGTCGCATCACGTCGCCCTGTGTCAGTTGCATTTCAACACACTACACGGACTACATCTGACGGCCAAGTGGCACGTACGTTCTGCGCCTGCGTGAGAGAGAGCGGAGTGACAGAGTGATACATCCTGACAGCCGAGGTGTTACCTATCTGTGCAGCTGAGCACCGCAGCACCTTCACGGACTATTACATCCAGACGGTCTCGGTGTTTCCTCCGCAGGCTCCATTTCACTCAGCTGCCCGATAAACCCGCTGCTCCTTCCCACTTTAACCTGAATAACAAACCAGGGCTCGGTGCTCCGGTTGGATCCAAACGGAGAGCCGGGGCTAGCTGGGAAGCTAGCGGAGGCTAACTGGCTGTGCTTCCCTCTGGTCATGCTGCGGCCAACGCTAACGCTCCCAGCTAGCTCCGGTTTGTTATTCAGGTTAAAGTGGGAAGAAGCAGCAGGTCTGTCAGGCAGCTGAGTGAAGTGGAGCCTGAGGAGGAAGCACCGGTTAGCCCCGGTTTCACTACAGGCAGATTCACTCGCTACAGGGGCGAGGGCATAAAACCTAAACAGCTAATCAGAGTGATCTCTTTCACACACTGCAAAAACTAGGCCAACAGACACCGACAGACGCTCACCGACGGCTCGACTTTGGTCGATGGCCGACCATCAGCTTGGTGTGTCAGGGCCTTAAGGGATAGTTTGGATTTTATGGAGTGGTATTGTATGAAGTTCATAGTCAGTGTATTAGCTATAGTAGATGTCGGTCAGCGCGCCCCCAGTTTGGAGAAGCAGACTGGCAGTACCACCACCAGAGTTATGCGATGTGCTGCTATGGATGGGGGTCGGCAGCTTATTGTATTTCAGCCAAAAAAAGTCCCACCTCACGAAATCAGTGTCACTTAAAGTATATGCTATATTGAGAATATTTCCACCAATTATCTTGCTATGTTCAGATGGGGAAGCTGTTAACAGCTCTAGTTCCTCATCTATGCTCCCGTCAAAGCCACCAGACTCCATTGAGAAAAACAGTAATTTTAGCTTGCTGAACACAGGAGCTGCTGGTCTACTGCTGCCTCAGTCAGGGAGTTTGTGATATTGTGTGGCTTTACCCGTTTAAACACCAAATTCAAACAATAACACAAACAAACTGACTGATCAAGGCAGCAGTAGACCAGCTTGCTTAGCTTCCGTGTCGGTGCTTCTCCAGACAAGGGTGTGCCACCCACCATCTACTGTGAGTAATACACTGACTATGGATAAGTACCTCATACAAGTCCACTTCCAAAAATCTTAACTATCCCTTTAACATTTATACATGAGTGTGGTTGAAACCTTCTTATCTAACTGTCTGAAGTGATAAAGTGTATACTCTAAAATATTACATTCAAGTAGTTTTTAAATGGTTAGCAACTATTGACAGTCATTATAGTTTAATCATTAATTTTTCAGGAGAGCCCCCACTTTAGCAGCAGAGGGACCCTAACGGTTGGGAAAGCCTGTATTAACCCCTTGTCTCCTGTTCCTGACAACCAACCCCCCTCACACTGCCACCAGCCCATTCTCATGCGCCTTCTTTGTCATCACCCCATCATCATCATCATCGTCCTCGTCTTCATCGGCATCTAATGGTGTAACATCAGCCTTCTAGACGCCGCCTGTCTGTCATGCTCTCCCCCCTCTCCCTCTGCCAGGGATTCCAGGTAAGGAGTCTGTCATCCCCACCCTTAAGGGACACCAATCATGTCAACAACACAGCATCACAAATCAAGCCCGACAGAGGAGACGCACAGGATGGATGGCAGGATGGATGGCAGGATGGAAGTGGTAGACAGGGGGGAGAGAGGGGTTGTAAATGATACTGATATGATGAAGCGTAGGGGATATAGAGGGGAAGACAGTATCCATGGTATCCTGTGTTTAAAGGAAGAGAAGGGGAGGTATTAACATTGTTAAGGGAGGAGAAAAAGGACAGAAAATACTCTGACATGGCATATCAGAAAAGAGAAAAGCCAAATATAGGAAAGTACTGAGCAGGGAAGGCAAGAGGCTCTTAGGGAGTGACAAAGAAACTTATTCTGAAGATAAATGAAATAATACCTGTCTCCCACCTCTCTTTTAGTCCGTCCCTCCATCTCAATCGTTCTCTGTGCAGATTTGTAGGTATAGTTGTTTCCAAGCTACTTCTTAATATAATTGATTTCCCAGGGAAAGGGGGCTCTGCGGCCCTGCTTAATAATTAACTGACCAATCTTCAGCCCAGGAGAGGAAAGAGAAAGAAAAAAGGAGCGCAAGAGGAAACGAGTGAGGCAGGCGGCCTCTTAACGAGCCACTTGAGTGGTTCAAACAGCACAGGACAGGCAGAACTAAGGAGACAGAGAGAGACACAAAGAGGAAGAAACGCGGCCAGAGAGTCTGAGAGAAGAAACAGCAAGCACACGAACGAGGAAAATGGCTCTCTTGACGTCTCAGATGAGCTTATTCCCAGTCCTGTCTCTTTTTTTTGTTTGAGCTGCTGCATCATAGCATGCTCTATCTGAGATGCTTTGGGTCTGTAGTTCCCTCCTGTGTCTGCCAACTTTGCTCCGGCGAGAACGATAAGATGAAAAAAGTCAAAATTGGGAGGGTTTTTCTTATAAAGGGAAATTCTGAAAGTGGGGAAAGAGAAAGTGATATGTGATTTCCACATCAAGGAGTCTCTCTGAATCCTGTCCTACCCCAAACCTGGACTTCAGTCAGAAGTTCAGAGAGCTCCATCCTGCCTGCAAACATGCAAAAATTGGGGAAAATTCAAATGACATTTAGTGAGATAACCCAACCATGTCTTTTGTCATATATAGCCCCTCATATAGTAATATAAATACCCCATCTTATCCATCTGTCCTCTCAGGTCTGTTCCACAGGGCCATAGCCCAGAGTGGAACTGCCATCTCCAGCTGGTCAGTCAACTACCAGCCCCTCAAGTACACCAAAATCCTGGCCCGCAAGGTGGGCTGCACCTATTCAGAGACAGCCGACCTGGTCGACTGCCTGAGGCGCAAGAACTTCAGGGAGCTGGTGGACCAGGACATCCAGCCAGCTCGATACCACATCGCCTTTGGCCCCGTGGTGGACGGAGACGTGGTGCCTGACGATCCTGAGATCCTCATGCAGCAGGTGACACCGCAGACACATTCTCTTAGGGCTTTTTATTAAGTGGAGTGATTTGAGCTGTGATGACACACCAGACAGAGAGAACATGAAGAACTTGTTGCAGTAAATGTGTGTGACCTTTCCACAGAGTTAGGGTCTGGTGGTGACATTTGCCAGCTGGTGTGAACTCACACCCTCAAATGCTGTAACACAGTGGAGCCGCAGTGTTGGTCATGTAAATTGCCTCTGTGGTGTATCCTTGACCCATTTTTTGCTTTGATCCTATACATGAAAAGCATTGCAAACACTTTATCACAGGGTCATATCAGAGTTGTGAGCAGGTCAATGGAAGAGTCTCTGCTCAGCTTTGCTGGAATAATGTTTAGAGGCCCGAAGAGGCAAAATCATAAAGTATCTCACAAACACAAATAAAAGATAAGAAATAGTCCAAAAATAAACTTTTATCAAAAAGCTGAATTAGTTTTTTTCTTATTTCCTTTTTTTTTATCACTTGATATTTATTGTTGTGACCTCCTGGTTTGGACTCTAAAGGACAGTTCACACCAAAAACAATAACAATTTGAGTGTCCACACTGATGAGTGATAACATTCTACAAACACGGACATGCTGCGTGCTCCAGTTGTGACGCCCTGTGAATTTAGATAGATTTTGATTGGCTGTAAGCGTTTCTATCGTTCATCAAATCGCTCTAAAAATGATCTTACAATAGTGTACGCCACCGGCGTTGTGGTGCAAACTCCGCCATCCACTTGAGTTAGACCCATTTTTAAAATGTCATAATTGTAGTAATCGTCCTTGGTGTGGACACAGTACAGCCACAAGTCATGTCACATTTTACATGCACATGACTGATGATGATGTCTTGCTTTGCCAAGTTTCAGCTAGCTTTGTGTCATAACAATGTGGGTATTAGGTGTAAATGAAGTGTGGTAAACTTCCCTCCATCTTATCAGCGCCCAGATCTCTCAACTGTCAACTCAAATTTAAGGCTTTTAGGGCTCAAACTATAGATTTTGCTTCTGCATTTTCATATGCAGACACTAAGAGTAAGCAGATCAAAAAAGAGACCTGCCCCTTTGTTTCTGAAGCTCAAACTGTCATCAAACTGTAAAACAAGGCAGTGCTGATCATGTATAGCACGTATAGCACGTGATGGCATGTATATGTCACCCACCAGTGGGATCATTTATTGGTCCACTACAACACAGTATATTCTGGGGTTTTGTAGGTTTTCTGCCTCATGAGTAAAAGTGAAATACTTCTTTAATTTAACTCACATAAAAGGAAGAAAATGTTGTGCATTAATTGACACTGTAGAGTTTAAAAACTCCACAAGATCAGCACTTACATGTTTTTGTAGAACTTATGTTTACTGTCTTTTAATGGAAGAAATCTAACATATTTAAGAATAATATATGGCAGCATTAAAACTGAAAACTAAATTTCTTGTCCCTGTCTCTTACAATAGCGTAGTGGTGGTCCCACAACACAAGCGTCACATTAATACAAAGAAAGTACATTTCCTCTTAAATATCACCTACAAAATACAAATGAAGGTGATTTGACTTTACAGATTTAACACAAAACAAAATTGTATTCAGCAGCGTTCATGGTTGTAGTGACTATAGATCAGCAACATGCACTGAAAGAGACTGAAAACCCATCCTTTTGAGCACTAGTTCAACACTCACACCTGTTCTTCCATCATTGCACCACCAGGGGGAGTTCCTCAACTATGACATCCTAATTGGAGTGAACCAAGGAGAGGGGCTGAAGTTTGTGGACGACAGCGAGGACAACGACGGCATCTCAGCCGCAGCATTCGACTACACTATCTCCAACTTTGTCGACAACCTCTATGGCTACCCTGAGGGTGAGCAAAGTCAACATTATACCCTTTTCAGGCTGTAATGTCCTCTAATTATGTCATCTACCGCCTCTCAGATGACAGACCTTTGTAGTGTCATTGTTGTTTATGCTTATTAGAAGCCACATTAGATGAAATCTTCCTGGGTTACACACACACACACACACACACACACACACACACACACACACAAGACAGATATAGATTCTCACAATAGAACATAGTTATCAAAGTAAAGAGCATGAATTATTATCACAATACAATAATGAGCTATACAGATGATATAATAGGATAAATATGTTCTGATGTCTGAGCTAGATGTGACATTAAACACGATAAAAAAAGAGTTATTTTACCTTTTTCTCCCACAAAAAGTACATCAACAGCAATTTGTCCAAAACTACAGCTCCCAGTCAGAATACAAGTCTTAAAAACATTATGTGGACAAAGAATGAGAAAAGAGATCAAATGTGAGCCCAGGAAAGTCTATCAACTAAGACAGGCATACTAAAGAGATTGCCTATCAGCGAGATTATCTTTCACCATGGTGGGTCTGTGCTTTGGCCTTTGAGGCTCTGTGGGCACTAATGCCGTCTCTCATCATCCCCCAGGCAGCAGGCTCCCAATCACAATGCTGTTGTTCCTAACAGATCAGCCTGCAAACATCTCACAGCGGGCCACAGTCAAAATACAGACACATTTGGATAATGCAGTCACGCTTCCTCTCAAGTGCCTGTCACTCATTCTTCTCTGAGAGGCATATTCTCTTTTTTTGCCCTTTGTGTTGCTCAGTCAGTCCTTTCAGGTCCTCTGTCAACTGTATCTGTCTGTCTCACACATACAAACAAACAAACAAACACAGGTACTTATATTTTCCTCCACCCTCTGGTTTCACATCTCTTGACCACTCGCATCTCTCAAAATGCTCTATCTCTGTCATTACTTTCCTCTTAACTTATCACAATTTTCCCTTTTTTCCCCCTTACCCTTTTTTCTCCTATCCCTTCTCCCCTCCTGCGTCCTATCCTCCAGGCAAAGACATCCTGAGGGAGACCATTAAATTCATGTACACTGACTGGGCAGACAGGGACAATGGCGACATGCGAAGGAAGACCCTCTTAGCTCTGTTCACAGACCACCAGTGGGTGGCGCCGGCAGTGGCCACCGCCAAACTCCACGCCGAGTTTCAGTCTCCGGTTTACTTTTACACGTTCTACCACCACTGCCAGACCGAGACGCGACCGGAGTGGGCCGATGCTGCCCATGGAGACGAGATACCGTACGTGTTTGGCGTGCCCATGATCGGTGCTACAGATCTATTCCCATGCAACTTCTCGAAGAATGATGTGATGCTGAGCGCTGTGGTCATGACTTATTGGACCAACTTCGCCAAGACTGGGTAAGCTTTGCTGATAATTTTAGTATAAATTAACTAGTGTAGTGCCTCTTCAGTAGGAGACTTTTGTCAGTGGATTTTTAAAAAAGTTTAATACTCTTTTTTCACTTTGCTGTAAGTTCATCAAAAAGTTCTTCAAAAACTTTGAACACAAGGGTGCATTCAGTGTTTAGATGTCAATGCCATGAAGAAATGTTTGGACCTAATTATTAAAATCTTGACTAAGATGTCCCCTTTATCCTCCACTAGGGACCCCAACCTGCCAGTCCCTCAGGACACCAAGTTCATTCACACCAAGCCCAACCGCTTTGAGGAGGTCATCTGGACCAAGTTCAACTCGAAGGACAAGCAGTACCTCCACATTGGCTTAAAACCTCGTGTTAGAGACAACTACAGGGCCAACAAGGTGGCCTTCTGGCTGGAATTAGTCCCTCACCTCCATAGTCTGCATGAGGAGCTCTTCCCCACAACCACCCGCTCGCCACCAGGTGGTGACATAGGCACCCCCAGAACCAGGCCCAGAACACCAGGCCCTCGCAGCACTCGTCATCCCTACCCTACCTTCCCCTCTGATCCTGAGCCTGAGGGTTCAGAGCGTCCACACCAGGACCTCTTCCCTGGAGACACCCGGGACTACTCCACTGAGCTGAGTGTGACAGTCGCTGTGGGGGCATCGCTCCTATTCCTCAACATCCTGGCCTTTGCCGCTCTGTACTATAAGCGTGACAAGCGGCATGAGATGCGACGCCACAGGTTGTCACCTCAGCGGGGCGGGCCTGCCAACGACCTGGCTCACAGCCAGGAGGAGGAGATCATGTCCCTGCAGATGAAGCACTCAGAGCACGACGCTCACCATGACATGGAACCACTCCGGCCCCACGACATCCTAAGGCCCGCCTGCCCGCCTGACTACACACTGGCCCTGCGCCGTGCCCCTGACGACGTGCCACTGATGACACCCAACACCATCACCATGATCCCCAGTACCATCACCAGCATGCAGCCTCTTCATGCCTTCAACACCTTCCCTTCCACTGGTCACAACAACACCCTGCCCCATCCCCACTCCACCACCAGGGTATAGTAGGGACTGGCCCAACACAGCGCCACCTAGGGACCAGAAAGACTGGCTCTGCCACTGATCTAGAACGGAGGCCTCTGGATGTGGGCCTTTGTTCTGTTCTCTTACTCTCTTGTTTCTCCAAAAACAACTCCACCTCCTCCATCATGTGCTGTCAAACTTAGCAGCTCCACTGGTGGCGTGTGGAGAAGCAACTGAACTGCACGGCAGCAGATGATCAGTGTGGGGGTGATTTAGATCTTTCAGAGATACTGTTTTCAAAGGTCTGCTGTTTCCAGACTAAAGCCCCCTGACATTTGTCAAAAGGACGAATGCTTTTCGCCCCTCGCAGTTTTGCCTTTTTTACTTTGGCTTTGTCTCTTTTTCTCTCCCTGGTGTGTTATGTGCATATATCGTTCTCTTTTCTACATCTGTGTCTTATCCCTGCTTTGTTGCTCTCATTCGACATGGGATTCTCTCCCTCTCCCAGTGCTCCTTTACTCCAAGGACTCGCAAACTACTGAGCTATAGGAGGGGGCATAGAGTACATACAGTAATCATATAGCTATGAAAACACTGATATCTGATACTTTCATTCTACCAGCATTCTTGGTGCCAAGTATGTACTACTGTGTTTGCTTTTCTCATCGAGGGAGAAAAAAAACCTAAAGAAAATTCTAGAGTATTCCTATTTACTGTCAATTAACAGATGCTGTGTGTTCTCATGACAAAAGTGCCAAACTGGCCCTCGATTGTGTTTTTTTTTTCTTTCTATCATCTTCTGTTTCTTTTTTCGGAGCATTTGTTTAATTGTTGTTTTTTGTGGAAAGAATTTTTGCTGAAAATATAGATATAGAGAAATGATATTATATATAGTTATATATAAATGTGTACAAAGGAGAAAGTATATAAATGGGTTTTCTCAGTGGGGATCTATGCATGAAATATTTTTAAAGATGATGACGGGGGAAAGGACACTGTATCTGTCAATGCACGTTTCCCAAATCTAATCAAACCATATCGGTCCACTCTGGATATTTTGGTTTTTGTTTTATCTTACAGAACAAGAACATCACAGAAAATCCTGCAGTAACCCAACAAAACCTCTTCACCTTCCAACACCTGTTTATTACAAAAAAAAGAGTCATTGCCATAAATCTCAGAAGATGTTGAACAACTGTGAACATGCTCTTCCATTCATTCTCTCCTAGATGATGTCACTCAGAGGTTTTTCTCCTACGTCAAGCCCATCATCCTACAGTAGCTACTTTTTCTTCCCGTCTTTATGGAGATGATCATTTTTTAGGGTACGTGAGGTGCCGAACCTGTTGTTGTAGCTTGCCTGTACAGAATTATTTTTGTATTTCAGTAAGGGTGAGAAACAAAGCAGAGACAGGCAGCCTTTGCTCTTTTACGTACACCTTCCTTCTCCTGTCTGCACCCCTATTTCCAGCACATGCATATTCTGTTTGATGTGTGCCTGTGAGTCAAAGTGTGTGTGTGTGTGTGTGTGTGTGTGTGTGTGTGTGTGTGTGTGTGATATGAGAACTGCTCCACATGGGCGTAGGTGGGCCCTAATTAGACAGCAAAGAGATAGAGAGGCAGACAGGCAGGATCACCCCCATGGTAATAACTTAGACTCTAAAATGTGCTCCTTCCTTATGCGTATTCAAACACCTCCCTCTCTGTATCACCATCACTTACCCCCTCCCTTCCCCTCTCTCCGTCAGTACACTGGCTTGCTATTCAAGACTGACACCCATATTTCGGCGATCACCCGTGGTCAGCTCCCTGCTGTGACCACAAAACTCCAAAACTTTCACTGTGTCAGCTGCATTCTACACGATTTCAGACCTCGGTTCAGCTCTGCTATTATCCTCACATTCATGGGTTAGTTCACTAAGCTAGTGACCTTTTTTTGTGAGTTCGTTAGTTGTATATTAAACTCTAAGCACACTGAGGGTAACCGGTGGGCCTTCACGGCCTGCGGCGCAGAGCTGCAAAATGAAAAGGGGGCTCGGATCTCCTAAACAGGGTAAAAGCAACACAGTTGACAACTGCTCTTTTCTTTCGGGTGAGAATGTGCAGGCCTACAGCTCAGCGAAACCCCCCACCCCCCTTCTCCAATTCTCTGCTACAGATCTCAAACATGGATCATGAGTAATACAGTTAGGTGTTAACTAAACTGATTTGCTGTTGTTTGAGCCCACAGGAACACATGGTAGCCTACATCCAGTATGGGAGAAGTTAGTCACCGGTGCTGTCTTTGCTTGTGCTCTAGCTTTAGCCTGTTTGTTTGTTTGTTTGTTTTCTATTTTATTACTGCCTAATGGGGTGGTGGGGGAGGGCTGGAGGGGGAGAGATATACCTTGCTGCTCCTGTCAGAGATTTTGTAAGCCCACTGAAAGGGAAATGTGCACAATGTAAAACACAAAACAACAGACTTGGGTGTGCAGCAGGTGGATAAATGCTGTGGAAAAGACAATGGACAGAAGCGTGAGGAATGGTGCACGCTGTGGGAAAGAGACTCTGGGAAGAGACTGGAAAAAGACTTGCAGCCTTAAATGTAGAAATCGGAATCAAAAGAGAGGATTAACTGACCAATAGCAAAGTAGGACGTTCAAAGGCATGGCCATCTTTCTACCCACAATGTTTGCCAGGAGGATACCTTGCTCATCTGTCCTACGGAGGATCGGATATGTCTGATCAGACCCATATGAACCCTTTTGTACTCACTCCTGCAGATAAGGAGGCAGTGAGGGATTGTGAGGTGAACCTCACCACAACACAGCTACAATGACACCACCAGAGGTGAAAACAGAAACAAGGTATTTAGTTTGGTCTGTTCTTTTTCCCTGTCTATTTTATAAGCTAACACTGGAGGGCGCCCTTGTGATAGATTCACTGCAGGTCTGCCCACTCTGAGGAAACTGGATGTGTGACGAAAAATACCAAACTGGGTGGCAGGACAGAGACAGACACACAACATCTGGAAGAGGATCAAAACTGTACATTTTTAAGTGTAAGAATCAAACAGACAAAATATTTGTAAATATTAAGTTTCTTGTTTGTTTTTCCTTTTTTTCTTTTTTTTTTGAGTGAATGAATGAAATGCTTATTTTGTGACAACGTAAGACAACAGGTGCAGTTTGCAAAAAGAAAAAAAAAAAGAAGAAAAAAAAGGCCAAGAGCACGAGGTTAAAATCCATTCATGAGTTAAATATCATTTTTCATGCCATTTTGTTTATTTTGTCTCATGTCGCCCATTATCGCGTGGGCATCCTGTAGCATCATGATTCCTCACCAGGAAAGTCACTGTAGCAGAAATTCATCTTCACTGCAGCCCCGACACAACAGAGGGCCTAAGATGCTGTAGTTAGCGTTTGCTATTTTCCAGTGAATATATCATCTTAAAATTTGTAAAATATAGTTTAAGTCTGTGGTTTCATTGGGGTTTAAGTAGAGGGGCCAAATACTGCATTTCTTTTTTCCTTTTTTTTTTTTGTTTTTTTTTTTTAGTTCAAGCTTTATCAAACGTTTATTTTGAAATCTATCTCGTAATCCAACTGAACTCCTGATGAATTCAGAGTATCTATGGAAACATCTCAGAGGCTGAGAGCACTGATAAAAGCCAGCTAACTAATGTAGTGGTGGAGTAGGGAGGTGGCCTGTGATTCATGGTCACGACTTCCAAACTGAGACAGTAAACGCAAAGTGCAGCCAGTGAAATGTTGGCTCACTTCACATGTAGCAGTGTTTACATGTAGCCACTAAATCACATGTGGGACAGACGTGAGGGCTTTGATACCATAAGATGCCTCATAGAGTAATGAGATCACACAGGTGGTCCGTCTTTTTCCTTCCACACACTGTGTTGCATTGTGGTTTCAGCGGTTGCGTTGACCTTACGGTGATGTGATGTAGCAGTGAAGAGTTTCATGTTCTAACCAGGTGAGAGGTGTACTTTCAGACTCTGAGCGTGTGTGTGTTTAACAGAGGAATCAGATCTGATGTATGTGGACACACACTTAGCCTCGTCTGTGTTATAAAGTTACTCACTGCAGCCCTTTGGTTCACACAGTTGGGGCTGGATTTGGGTTTATTCTTATTTCAACATGCCCAAACAACTGCAGTCAGCCAAGCTAATCAAAGTGACTTCAAATCACTGAAGCTAATTAGAGATCATGTGTCAGGTCAGTGGTGCATGGACGCACATGGTCAATACCCCACAATGGCAAAGAGTGACACACACACTCACATAAATCTCCAGCTTGGTCTTAATTGCGAAGTTGCACCTGTTGTCTTGTTTTTACATTCTTTGTTGAATTCAGAAACCCAAGACTTGAGATGAAGAAAAATGTTAAATAATGGAATTTTAAAAAAGATGATTATTAAAAAAAAGTATAGTAAAACGATATAAATAAATGAGGTGATGATATTTCTGTTTACTTTAGAAGTTATTATACACTGTATGCTGTGATTCTGATCTGGGAAACATTAAAGACATTCATAGCCAGTCTCATGATTTTGTGTCTTTATTGAACCAGTTAACAGAGGTAAGTATTAATAAATGTTTACAACACCACATATAGAATGAATGATATTTTTAATTCCTTTAAAATGTAAATATTTGGAATCGGATCATTTACAGAAATAAAAAACAGGGATTCAAACTTCTGAGTTAAAATAAAGATCACAAATACTAAATTTGCTTTAAACAAACTTTGTTTCATGTATACATTTTGACAAAAGCATGTTATCCATTCTTGAGAAATGGGACACATCATGTCCTACCAGAAAAGCTGTAAAATTATGACAAGACAATAAGTCTGTTTCTGAGGTGAAACATCATTTTTAAATGATTAATATTATGAAATAAACATGATTTATAAAATATTTTGATCTGCTCCTTTTTTTTAACTTCTAAACTGGCCCTGTGCAACAAAACACCCATGTCCCAGACAAAACATTTGCAACTTTAAATCATTAAAGAATGTGTGAAGTCCTCAAAATCTAGAACTAACAGTTCATACTGATAACATTAGTGTAAAAATGATCTACTATAATCTATTTATGTTTTGTGAAGATGTTCACCCTTTAATGATGTGTCCAAAATTAGTATTTTGATTAGCATTAGGAGAACTCTCAGAAAATTTGAAAAATAAAAAGGCTACTCTTTACAACTGCAGTGAAATTATTAAATATATAACTTTTTGCCAACTCTGTCAGATCTTACCTCTGACATCAATTATGCTATTCAAGAAAAAATTAAATGACTGGCAGGTTGGCCCATTACAAGGTTTAAAAATCAAGACTTTGTTCTTTTCAAATATATTTTCCGAGCCTAATTGAAGACTAGAAATCAAAAACCCCCAAAAGTAAGGTTCTACCCAAGTTCTCAAGAATGAGTCTCATAAAGAGACTTTTTAATTGATTAAACAAAGTAAATATGTGACATCAGATACTTCATAGAAATGTAAAACAAAATAGTATTAAGCAAAAATATTAAATAAACTGAAAATGTATTTGTCACCAGATATTTAATTAAGATAAAAACAAAGATATTCCAGATTTCAAGGTAAGGAAATTACATGCTCTTCTCATGTAGATAAGGAAACATCATTGTCATGTATAACCTACATGTTCACACTGAAACTGAGTGATCTTTTAATACATTGAAAATGTAAATATTTTACATAAGAAACTTCTTAGAAACAAAAACAAATCTATTCTAACTTTTGAGTAAACAATCACATATCATACTTAATTATGACAATACCACATAAAGACTGAGTGGTGTTTAAAAAAGGAAAAAGTCAAATATTTTGCATACGATAAAACAAAAAAAAGAGATTTTAAAGTCTGAGTTAAAGATAAACTTAAAAATGTATATACTGTATGTAGAACCAGGTACTTAATTAAAATAAAAAAAAGACATTCCAAATTTTGAGTTATGAAAATTACATATCGCACTCAATTCGATAAGACCCACATGTTGACTTTGAAACTGCGTGATCTTGTAATACATTGAAAATGTAAATATTTTACATTAGAAACCTTGTAGAAACAAAAAACAATCTATTTTAACTTTTGAGTAAACAATCACATATCATACTTAATTATGACAATACCACATAAAGACTGAGTGGTGGTGCATCCGATACTCCGATACTACAAAAAAAGAGATTTTAAAGTCTGAGTTAAAATGATACCAGGTACCTAATTTAAATAAAACAAAGACATTCCAAATTTTGAGTTATGAAAATAACATATTACTGTACATTCAATTAGATAAGACTCTGATGTTGACATTGAAACTGGGTGATCTTTTAATACATTGACATTGTGAATAATTAGCATTAGGTACTTCACTGAAACAAAAATCAAGTAGACACTAACTATGAGTAAACAACAGCATCTCATACTTGAACAGATTTTTTAAAGTGTCCTACTATGACAATATCACATAAAGACTGAGGGGTGATTTAAAAAAGAAAATGAATTTGACATCAGATACGTCACAGAAACAAAAATACTCAATGAAAGATATAATAATGCATTTGATTAACTGTGTACATCTTTTCAGTGGCAGTGACATTCATCTGTCACACATGAAGCTAGTATAGTGTGATCTCAGGTAAAAGTGAGCACTAATTGCAGTGACTTTCTTATATTTTCCTATTTCAAGCCTCAGTGGTAAAATATATCTGAGCACTGATATCTTTAACCTTGTCATCTTGTATATACAGTGTTACTGATTGTCTTCAGTATCGTTCAGAACACATAAGATCAAAATATCCATGTGAGGATAGTGAATGTATATGAGGAGGATGTACACCTCTGTAACGGCAATGTTGTTTCTCACTTGATGTTAAAGGACTCTTTGATGCTTGCCTCTGCTTGCTTACGTGTAATACCTTTCCAGCTGGCAGGAATATCAGCAGGCTTTGCGTTATATTTTTTGGCAAACTTATTGTTGAACCTTTCCAGTACATATTTCCAGTAGTCTGATGCCTGGAGGCTTGCTTCTGGAACAATTTTCCAGTCAGGGAAAATTTCTTTGTAACGGTTGTAAGGGTGCGATTGACCATTGGTAGCATTGCAGCAAAAACAAATGTCAGTGAGCACAGAGGAACTGCATATGTCAATGGCAAGTTTATTGGTCCCACTCCACCTATATGCACCCAGACCATCTGGCCGATGGAGTGAGGTCCAGTGCTCAGTGTGGGTTTTTTCTCCTGCCTCACAAGGTGCTTTGCAGAATGGACACTGTTTACCACATCCAATTAGTTTGGTGAAAAGCTCGTTCTGAGGATTCACATTGAGTTTTCTTAGTTTCATCTGGATGTTTGTTTCTTTAAACTTCTTTCTAAGAGCTTCTGTCATGTCCTTCAGACAGTCGGTGAGCCAGTGAGCAAACTGTTCTGGGTCGGCATTGTTCAGGATCATGAAAGCACCAAGAGCATCCTGGGAAATGACCAGTTTATCACCAAGTTCCTGACAGACATCTTCAACANTTAGATAAGACTCTGATGTTGACATTGAAACTGGGTGATCTTTTAATACATTGACATTGTGAATAATTAGCATTAGGTACTTCACTGAAACAAAAATCAAGTAGACACTAACTATGAGTAAACAACAGCATCTCATACTTGAACAGATTTTTTAAAGTGTCCTACTATGACAATATCACATAAAGACTGAGGGGTGATTTAAAAAAGAAAATGAATTTGACATCAGATACGTCACAGAAACAAAAATACTCAATGAAAGATATAATAATGCATTTGATTAACTGTGTACATCTTTTCAGTGGCAGTGACATTCATCTGTCACACATGAAGCAAGTATAGTGTGATCTCAGGTAAAAGTGAGCACTAATTGCAGTGACTTTCTTATATTTTCCTATTTCAAGCCTCAGTGGTAAAATATATCTGAGCACTGATATCTTTAACCTTGTCATCTTGTATATACAGTGTTACT